CTGAGCCCGTGGTGTTAGATCATGGCCAGGTTTTGTAGCTGGATAACTCTCAGCAGAGGAAGTGGAGAAAACGGATGATTAATGATCTGTGAACCAGAATGAGCCTCACTCTCCTCTCAGCCTGCCTCAGACAGGCAGCGAAGGGGTTAATCCATAGGAAGCTGAGATGTGGGTGTCAGGTCGGATGCAATCGATTCAAAACAGACGAGAAAGTTAGAAAGTAGGGACAGAGACGCAGAGGGGGCAGGTAGAGAGGGGGCGGCAGACAATAAGCTCGACTGATCTGAGTCCTATTCATAATTCTCTGCTGGGAGGCCGGTTAGCTGAAGGCGGCGGATGATGATAGATGGAAGGAAAGAGGGGGAGAAGGTGTGGGAGGAAGAGACAGAGACAAAGGGAAGGACAAGAAGGGTTGGAGTCTCTGAGGGGGAGGGATGCTAGGGATTAAAGGCAGCTCTGCTTCAATCGGAGGGACACAGAAAAATCAAAGCAGCTCCGTGGTTTGATTTCTGTACTATCAAAAATCAGAACAAGTGTCAGCCTGCAGACCCACACATGCACAGCAGGGGGCAGCGCAGTAATGGGATTACAGGCCGCAGAACCGGGCAGACATCAGAACATGCAGGCAGGTTGGAGAATGAGAGGAAACGAGATGCAGAGACCGAAATGTTCCCTTGTTACCAACTGACAACTACCAGCCTTAAAAACATTTTATATGTAATTAAAATGTAATAATTGTGATGTTGGACATCTGCATGTTTTTATGTTCTGCAGAACAGGAACCACCAATAATGCTGAGCCAGGCATGATTACTTTAATCTGTTCCTGTTTTAAAAATTAAATTAATAAATCAATAAGTCTATCTTAAATTTCTGCTGCAGCAGCTGGATGGTCCTGATACTGAATGAGATGAATGATTAGAAGCGTCACATTGGATAAGTTATTTAAATTTTTTTATCCCGTTTGTTCATAAATATACTAAAATATTTACTCTCACACCATAAACTGTAACACTTCCATAAACCGGATCAACTCAGTTCAGTTTATTCACACTTCACAAAATATCCCCAATAATATCCTGAAGACTAAAATAATATCAACATATTGATCCAATTATAAAGACAGGTTCAGATTAATGAGCACAATTCAGTCCTAATTACATCATAATCTGTCCATCATGTAACAAAAAATATCAGGAACTTCTGACTGGATTGAGGTTTGGACTTTCAGTTCTAGTGGTTCTGGTTTCAGTGGTTCTCTCACCTGTTGCCTAGGTTACCAATTTTAATAATTTCTTTCATTCAGCCTAAAGTTCTGCAAAAAATTTTTATATCCTTGCAAAATGTTTTTATATCCTTGTAATTTTTGGTCACAATTAAATATTTATAATCTTCAAACAAATGGAAAAACAAAATGGTTCAGTTTAACTAAACAAATACAGATTTTAGAGTGGCCTAGTCAAAGTTAGATGTTTTCATTGCATGAAGGTTTGAGTGAGTCAACCTGCAGCCTGTTCAGCAGACAAAGATGTGATATGAGGTAAAGATAACCCACTCGGATCAACATTTGGGCTTAGTGGTCGTCCTCAGTGTTTTCTGCAGGAAGAATCATCCACTTCCAGCTCCGTCTTGGTGAAGCAGCTTGTTGAGTTTGGATCCTGAGCTCTCAGCCTGGATGTCTGAGTGTTTTCATAATCGGCCAAACCACAGAGAGCAATCAGGCGCTCTGCTGTCCTCATTTCCACCGTTTCAGATCTTTAAATGTCATTTTACTGAAAGCTTTGGAGCACCAGAGCCGGATCAATTTCCTCCAGTCAGAAACATCAGCGTGAGTTTTTAAATCAATGCACTGGTTCGGTCGGCCTGGTTTCCCCGTTTCCATCAGCCAGGCTGACGGTCCCCACAAGGAGCAGTGGGTCCCCACAACGTAGTATGTATCAGGAAAGTGATCCCCAAAAAGTATTACAAACGCACACACACACACACACACACACACACACACACACACACACACACACACACACACAGAGGCTAATTAACCCAACAGTTGTGTTTTTGGGAGTACCCAGAGAGAAACGATGCATGCTGGGAGAGCAAGAAGTTTTCATTCACAGTTCTGTTTTCTGGATTCATCGTTTGACTTTCTTCTGTAAACAATGTGAGCATGAATGAAGAACTAATTCTGCTGTAAATCCTCCAACTGACGGCCTAAAACTGCAGCTTTTCCCGGATCTCTGGAAGAACAATCGCTGCTTCTCTCAGTTGTGAAGAAGTATTTTTATTTCAGGCCCTAAACAAGATCCAGGCTCAAACATAAACCGTGTGACCACACCAGAAGGACAGTGTGACGGTGTCAGAGCAGAACGTTCTCCATATGCGGGTAGAAATCGTGGCAGTCGAGCTGCTGCAGCTTCTAACAGTCTAAATATGGATGTTGGGAGCTGGTCTTTGTTAGGAAACTGCAGGCCTGCTGTGTAAACATCCAGTTACACACACACTGATGGAAAACTCCCTGCACTGATGCTGGGGGTGAAAAATGTATCCCAGCCCGAGCTGCAGATGTATGAGTTGATAATAAAAGTTTCTCTGTGTGGCAGGAGGATCTGCAGGAAGAGGTTTATGATGGTTACGGAGGATAAGCAGGAGTTTAACGGTCCTGAACAGTTCGTGTTAGCCAGCCTGCGCTGATCCCACTGATAGAGTTACATAACCCAGAACAACAGCCCAGCATTAACTGTGCCAATTTGGCCCATCAAGGACTCGGACCGGCAGGCTGACGGGTCGCCTGCCCACCCAGAGGCTAACACAGAGAGACAGAGGAGCGTGCACGTTCATGGATGTGTGCACGAAAGGATAATCAATGAACCCAACAAGCGGGTCATGTGACTGCAGAGGGAGCATGGAGACCCTGCAGCAGGTCCGACCCAGAGGAAACATGGACCGCTTCCGCTAAACAGCTCCAATATCAGGAAACAAACAGTAAATGATTATTTAGTTTATTATAAAAGATTCTAAAAGTTTTACTGCTTCTCTGCAGTCTGACTCACTCCTTCAACCACATGAATCCCTCTGGTGTGGAGCAACACTGCCCCCGCGTGGAGAAACAAATAACTGCAAGTCTTATTTTAGATTCCACCCCAAACTTTTTGACTTAAGCGGCCAGAATTAGATAACTTAAGCAACTAAGATATGTTTAATTAAAAATATAAAATATGCAACAAAACAGAGACGCCTCTGGTACCACCCCTCCCCCCATGGTAGCTGGAACTGGAGAGGACCAGCGTGGAAGAGGAACATCGTTTTCTGTACTGCTGGACTTCCACCATGAGTTCACTGCATTTCTTCTTGTATATTTCAGAAGTGGATGTGTTTTACTTCCCCACTGTGTCTCACTGATGTCAAATTGCAGCGTAGCTCTGAACAAATTAGACAGTATTCTATCTTGGTAGAGCAGTCGGTTGCAGAGGGTCATTGTATGTTTGTGTGAGTCTGGTTTCCAGAGAGGATTATCTGCAGAGGGCGCTCCTGACTATATGCTGCCTTCACATCTGCAGCAGACTCCATCATCAGGCCACCGAGGATTTAAAGATCGCTATTCCTCAGATTAACCTCATGGCAGTCTCCTGTCTCCTAGTGAAGATCCTACCACTAATTACTGTGAGTTAAACTCACCTCCACTTTCTCTGCACTCAGGTCCGTCTGAAAAGCTTTTCAGATCTTCCTCCATGTTTGCAGTTTGCCATCTCTGCACCTGAACCCTCACCAGACCATCTGGACCTGTGCAGGAAGAAGAGCTTCTTCAGTCGCACATTTTTGCATCTTGGAAATAAACTGCCTTTTACTTTCAAATGGGATTCTGCATGAAAGTGCAGCATTCCTGGTTTTATTGGCTTCTTCAAGGGAGCAAATCCCATCTCATGATTGGGGGGTGACAATAAACAAGGACATTTCTTAAGCATAGTTTTTTTGGGTGGGGTGGGTGGTCAGAAAAGTTACGGTGAAATGTAACGTGGTTTAAAAAGTTTTTAATGTGTTCAAGCTGCAGGACCAAAAATGACTAGTAAGTGGTAATGTACAACAAACGTGTTTTTCTCCGTCAACAAATTGTTGAGACCCATAGCAGTCAAACTAAAATTCAAATGTTTAGATCTGAGTTTGGTTCAGTCACTGATCCAATCTCTGCTACACCTTTACAAAATTTAAGACTCTAAATAAAAACAAGTTTTAATGAGTGACTCCACTTAATAAAATTTCTCATAAATATTGTAGTGGCTCGCAATACAAGTTATGTGTTTAAATTATAACTTGTTAAGTTGCTTTATTTTTAAACCTTTTTTGATTTTCCCATGTCCTGGATGGCTGAGAATCTGGTAGGTGAATATCTGGGAAGTATCATAACCTAAACTTATCGCTCAAAGCACCAGGGTTTTTATGGAAAAAAGAGTTTATCGTGTGGTTTTAAATGCTCTGCGTTGAAGACAGTAAGAAATAAGGGCATACTTTGTTTTAGCTGCTCTGCAGTATCGCCCCTCTGCTCTCGGCTCCCATACAGAGCTGTCGGCTAGTGCTAACGCTCAGCCCCTCCAGTTTCAAACTAGAGGTAAAGGTGTTACATGTCTTTTGCTTTAAGTTTGTACTTACTGGAGGGTTTTATGTTTGTACTGCAGAGGCACAGCTAACAGCTAGCTGCTAGCTCCTCACTTCGGCGGTACCGTTCGGCTGCTGTTGCTCCTCCTACACTTTGGACTGAACCATTGTTCTAACAATGGGAGGGGGAACCTAAAAATTCATCCCTAAGTTTTTCTTAGATAAAAGGCGGATTTATTTCGTTCTTTGGCCTTTTTATATTGATATTGTGTAAATACAAGGGTTTCCTTCATGATTTCTTTTTCCTTTTTTGGGGTGGGGGGTGGGAGGATTTACGCCCATGGTTTTTTTTGGTTGTATCCTCTCAGTTCCATGTTACCTAAAATCCCTCATCTTGTCTGCTCAGACATTATCCTGCTTTACTCAGCAGGTTTCATCAGGAGGAGCGTCTGCAGCCAATGAGGTGAAGGAAGCGGCTGCAGGAAATGCTGAGTAATGTTAACAGTTATCTTTATGGATTACCACTCGCCTTTGTGTTGTCATTTCCCATAATGCAGAATTTAATGACTTCTTATCCAACTGTCACAACTTTGTTTCAGTTTTTATCGAAAGATGAAACCAACCAGCCTGAGCACAGACAGCTGGAGGACAAACGGACGGAGTCACAGAATCAGATTAGCTTCAGACTAAGAAAGTTTACCTGCAGGAAGAAAGGTCAGCATGTCTTGTCCAATCTGTTATTTATTTAAGCAAATGAGATATGAAGAAAAAATTCTGATTTACAATAATGACATGATAGGGCGGGAAGAACAAATACGAGCAAAAAATTAAAAAAAACAATCAGTAACAACACTGTTGTATCAGTAATGTTTTTACTGTTTTATGACTTCAAGGGCATAAGATAAAATTGACATTAAATGTGTTAGTTGAATCATGAGCAGCTCTTCCTCTGGTGGACGACAGACTCATTAAGACGTTAAGTATTGATGTATCAGAAATTATTGGCTGGATTTAAAAACAGTATAAAGTTTTTAGTGTTAGTTGAGATGTCAGTAAGAAGCAGCAACCCAATAGTCAAACAAACATTTCACTTTATTCTTATTGATACAAAAAATGTATAAAAAAATTTCATCATAATACAGAACTTTATCACAGAGGATGGTTTTTAATCATAATCTAAACACATCAGAAACAGTATGAGCCACTCTCCATAATGAAACTGATTCCGGTCCAGTTCGTCATTCTGGTCTCCAGCAGAACCCAGAGTTGCTCTGGCTGGTTTCTCTTTGACTGAATTTGAATGGAGCCATTTTCCCAGCCTGAGAGCCGTCGGCTTAATGAGGGCTCTGTTTGCTCAGCGCTCAAAGGAGACCCCCAGAGTTCACTTGTGGGCTCCTGTGATGTTTCCCATGTCCTCTTGAAGGACTCAGTGAGGAAGAGGACGGGCAGTCCTTCAGCGGCATGCTGGTGGGCCTCCAGCCAGCTTCCACCGCCCGCCGTCTGCCTCTCAACAAACCACAACCCTCTGTGTTCAGGAGGCAGACTCCAGGGAAGCATCCGGAGCGGCAGGAGACGATGGGAAGCGTCAAACTCAAGAGAATCCAAGATCTAAATAATATCTGGTGCAGCATAGTTTGCAAGTTTGTACTTATATGTTTGTACAAAAACATAAAACCTTCCACACAGTTTCCTCTGTGATTCCATTGGGAAGCACAGAGGAAACTATTGATCAGTAAAACATCTATAAAAAGATGATTAAACTGCTTTTTGGTGCAAAGGAGTATGACAAAAATTCATGTCAATGAACCAAAACCCAGAAGAAGTGAATGAAAATATTGGTCCATTGTTAAGTTTTCAAAGGTTCTAGAACAGAAAGTAGCAGCACAAAGCAGACGCAGAAAGACATCAGAGCAATAACTGGTTCTACCATTAATCTGGGAACAGTTCAAAGGTCGTCTCCAAACTATCTGAAGTCCATTATTCTGCAGAGGAGAAGATTATTCCCAAGAGGAAAACATATAAGACAGATATTACATCCAAGCAGTCCTTTGTAATATTTCACACCCTGAATCAAAGCCTTATTTTATGCAGCTCTAATCTGAACAGTCGAATCAAATCATCTCCAGTTTCTTGTTTAAGAACACAAAGTTTCATTCTCATCAATGAGGTTTCATTTGGACGTAGTCATCTTCATACTGAGAACATCAGAGCTGCTGTTTGGTACCTGACGTCTTCATGGTTAAGAGTTTTACTTTTTTATAGGTTTCAATAGAAATATCTGGTCAGTGAAGGTGTGTGCATGTGTGTGCTTGTGCATGCGTGTGTGTGTGCGTGTGTTTGTGTGTGTTAGTGTCCAGATCAGAGAACGACAGCTTTCCTCCGTTCCAGTCCAGATTCACTCGGATCTTCTGGATCTTTTTCTGGACTGAGAGGAATCTGGGAGGAGCTGCTGACGACTCTGCTAAGTATTGACCTTTACAGAACCGATGTTACGGCTTCACAGAGACGATCCATCCGACTCTCTGCCCTTTATACAGTTTCATGTGGACACAATCAAGATGAGGAAGAAGCCCGCTAGTTTCTACTGAAACTAACACAGAGGGTTCTGAGTCGAGATTCAGTCCTTCAAAAACTGAATCTGGAGGGACCAGCTCTCCCCTCTGCCCTGGGACACCAGAGAGTAGCTGCAGTTGGGACACGGATGTCTGGTTTCCCTCCTGGGCCTGTTGCCCCTTTGACCTGAAAAAATGGATGTATGATTAATATTGATAATTTATGATAGAACTATGTGAGTCCAGGGTGAACCCGCTTCTCGCCCGTTGACCTTTGGAGAAGTTCACCAGCACCCTGTTGACCTTATTAAGGATAAGAGTGTGAGATAATGGATGGATGACTGTATCTATCAGCTGTTCTTCCTGTCAGCACAAAACCTTCTGGCTTTTATGTACCTATCATGAAAAATAACAATTTTTCAGAATTATTGAGTCAGTTTCAATTTGTTGCAGAAAACATTTGATCACATGACCTCTGCAGGATTAAAAGCTCAGTCTGGTTCAAACTGGGGACAGTGTTGGTTTTAAGGATATTCCTGCCTCTGGTTGAACTGGTTTCTGAGGAAACTGAGCAGTTTGGCTTTGAGCTTATCCGGCCGTTCATCCTCCTCTACATCTCGGCCTCTTTCTGCTCAGTGACGGGGGGCAGGTGGCGGGAGGCGGTGGGTGTTGTAGCTTAGCAACTCCCTCAGTGGATGGGGATTGATATGCAGCGTTATTCAGCCGTCTCTCTCTGAGCTGCAGGAGGAGGGGGCCTGAACAAAGCGCTCCTTATTGAGGCCTCCCCTCCTCCTCCACTTTGCCCAGGCACAACGACGTGGGAGGACAAATATTTCAGCTCAAAGGAAACGAGACGCAGCAGCAGCTCATGAACTGAAACTCAGACGGACGACGGCCTCCAGGTGTTTCAGCTTCATTATTTAAATAACAGAAATAATATTCAGGTGAATATTAAGGCCATAAATCAGTTGCTGGAGTTGGAGCTCCTGCTTTAGGTTTAATCTCAGAGCAGAGCTCATTCTGTCTCTATTATCTGGCTTCTTCTGAGATCCATCCATCACAGAACAACACAGAGACACAGTCAACCCTGCACACATTTCAAAGACCAATCTGCCTAACAGTCATGGTTCTGGTCTGTGGGAGGAAGCTGGAGTACCCAGAGAGAACGCAGGAACATACAGGGAGAACACACGAAGAGTCAGGCTGTTTGTCCCCTCCTTCCAGTTTTATCCATAAAACGTCTTCAGAGCTTTATAAAACTTCTTCCATAAATAACCACAGTTGCATAACCTCTAGTTATTGCTGTAGATGACGGTTTGGTCCAGAGCTGCACATAGGATGTGAATCCTGGATGTTTGCAGCTTTAATTTTTGTCATTTTGATGGAGTCCAACCAGGGGAGAAAAATCCTACATAAATCATTTCAGTTTGTCAGATTTGACCTTTTCTAGATGTGGACAACCGCAGATGGTCAGACTTACTTCTGTAATCAGAATTATGATAAAAATGAAACGGATCTCGGTGGAAACTAAGTGCAAACAGAGATTTCTCAGGAAGAGACTGGATCTCAGTCAAACTTTCTGGAAAACAGAAATAAAATCTTTAAACTGATGATTTTTGGAAAAACTAGTGGGTTTTTTTCATTCATTTATGAGTAAAGATAGAACCAAAGTTCAGCTTCATGGTTTCTGCTGCAGAGGAAACTTTGTGAAAGAGCAACCAGCCAATCAGATCTCTGAATACATCCAACCAATCCCAGTCTGTGGATCAGGCAGCCAGGGAGTTTCTTGTGTTTGGATGAAACCGGCCGTTTAGTTTGAACCCGGAATAAAAGAAAATCTGAAGAAGGTTCTGGAAACCCGTCGGCTGAGTGAGGAATTCCTGCGTTTTCTCCAGAGCAACCGGTCACAGAGCATCTGTGTTCATTCAGTCTGCAGGAGCTCATTGTGAAGCCGTGACCTTCAGTAATCCAACAACAACAAAAAGGAGCGTCACAGTCCGGCATGGCGGGTCGGTGCAGCGGTGGGCGTGCAGCTGCTCAGCGCTCCTTTCAGTCATCCCCGCCTTCCAGACAAAACGCAACCAAACGGCAACCTGACGTTCTGGAACCGTCACAGTGAAAGTTCTTTAGGAAAAACATGAGCTTTTATTCTGAAATCACCCCAAAAAGTGTTTAAAATAACAGGGATTATATTTTAGTCTCTATATAGAAAGTTTTTAAAGAAAGTTATTGAAACAGAGCAGGGAGAAACTTCTGATTTTTACTGTTAGCAACAAATTAATTCAATTGTTATCTTTATTTTCATTCATTTTATTGAATTCACAGAGAAACTTATTAAAATTGAAGTTCCCTGAATCTGTGATTGTGGAGAAAATATTCAACCAGTCCTTAGAAAAAATAGCAAAACATTAAGAAAATGTTGAATAGGACGGTTCATCATGTCTGTGTTAGCAGAGAAATAACAAATGTTAACATTCAAGAAGAAAAATCACATTTTATTGAAACAAAATGTAAAAAAATGGCCAGCAAAAACATGCTGTAAAATAAACAGCCATAATTCAGAATAGCTGAATTTAGCCTCATTTTAGCAAAGTATAGTTAGTTTCCATGTCTTACAGTACTGAGAACAGGACGGACAGAAATCCTGAACAAATATTAGTAAGAAAAGGAAAATATGAAACTGGAAAACAGTAAGAATATTTATCTACAAACATTTACAAAGAAATTCCTCTAAAATCTGTAATTTTCTAACAAAAGTAACATAATTGTCTGCTCTACAGAACCTCCTGAAAATATTATTACATAAAATTATTTCTTGGGTTTTATTTTGTCTGCTGTTCCAGAACAAATAAAAAGTAATCAGAGAAAAGTTTTTATTACCTTTCATTCCTCTGGATCAAAGAAACAGATGGAAAAAAAAAACGGCAGAGGAAATGTCTTCTTAAAGTATCTCTGCTCTGTTATTACATATCAGATTTTTACTATTTGAAAATGTTAAAATAAAACCCAAGAATTCATAATCTCAAAAAGAATAATAAAAAAAATTAAAAAGGGTTGTGTGGAGCAGTTCCAAGTAGTCAGTATCTCCCCTGCAGTGGTTAACAGTTTGAGCCTCAGTCACCATGGCTGCATTGGGTGAGCGAAACTCAATGACAATTTGTTTTTGCCCATATCCAATTTTTTCACTGAACGACCCGATTCTGATCTTTTCACCCTCCAATAAATCCAATCGGAGCTTCATATGTGGACCTGAATCTTATCCAGTAGTTTTCAAAGGTTCTGCAGTCCGAATGGTCATGTCGCATTTTATCCGACATGCGTCATTATTCTGCAGCAGAAGAAGCCAGACTTTAAATCTGGATGCAAACAATGTCTGAAAATGATAATAATGAAGTGATGAAAGCAGACTGAAGTCTGAGTCAGTGAACGCATCACATCCCAACCCCAGAATGCAGACAAAGATGTGCACACAACTGTAATGGAAACACAGTTACTTTTAGCCATGAGGAATGAATTCTGCACGTAAGATGCTGATTATTCATAACTACTTCACACAACCTGGATGTGGAAAACACAAACTATCCCTTTAAATGGTCGTTTTGTGTTCTGGGCTCAGCAGGGCGTCCCGATGGCGGATGCAGAGTCTTTCACTGCCTCACAGACAGCCTTTTCTGCCACCACGCTCTTCATCGCCTCCTCTTTGCCAGAGGGCGTGAGGGAGGAAGGCGAGGGTGAGGAGGGTGAGGAGAGGGTGGAGGTGGGGGCGGTGGAGGCCGAGGATGAGGAAGAGGAGGAGTCAGGGAGGCACTCTTCGCAGCAGCAGCAGCAGCAGTCCATGAAGGCCTGGCCCAGAGAGCGGCAGAGGCACAGCAGCAGAACCGGCGTCGCCGAGCAGCGAACGAACAGCAGGAACTGTTCGACCAGAGCCAGCGCCGGCAGAACCAGAACCGGGGCGGACACGTAGGCCAGGGTGATGCTGCACACGCTCTGAGGCAGGTTACAGGTGACGTACAGGGCGGTGAGCGCCATCACGGCGGTACGCAGCCTCTGCTCCCTCACCTGCTGCTTCTTCTTCCCAGAGGAGGATGAGGAGGAGGAAGAGGAGGAAGAGCACCTGCTGGTCACCTTCTCAGCGCCGGGTTTCTGCGGCTCCCGCTGGGCCAGAACCCGCCTGGTCACCAGGTCGCAGGCCAGAGTGAAGAGCAGCGGCAGGCACAGGTAGCAGCCGAAGATCCACCACATGCGGGCCTGGTGGTAGGTCAGAACCAGCGCGTAGACGCTCTCCGGGAGCTCCGCCCACGGCTCGCGGATGCAGGCGTCCACCTTCACCCTGTCCGCCCTTAGAGAGGCCAGGAGGGAGGCCGCCGGCTGGTGCTGCGGCAGGTCAGAGGTCAGCGCCGGCAGGCTGACGGTCTGCTGGACGAGCTGCCACAGCAGCAGCTCTGGAGCCCCCAGCACCATGGAGCCAACCCAGATCACACCCACCTTGGACAGGATGGAGCGGCACGGCTCCACCTTCGGCGTCTGGTGGGGGGAGGGCGAGGTGGCGGCGTGGAAACGATCGATGCTCAGAGCGCAGAGGCTGAAGGTCGCCACGCCCAGAGAGGTCACCTGACAGAGACAGAACCCAGACCAGAGATTAAAACGTCTCTCTGGCTGCAATCAGACAGCTTTCAGAACAAAACGGCTGGAGATCCGATTCCCTCTCAGCTGCTCAGAAGGTTTTCTCCAAGCTCCTGTTCATTAAAATTTATCTCCAAAATCCCCTTAAAGGGACAGTATAATGTAAAATCGACATCATGTTATAATGCTATTCCCTCGTCAAACATTTATCGATTCTGGATTGATTCTTTCATGCATGTTTGAGAAATCCTTTAATCTCCATGGCAACCATTCAGCTGTGCACAACGCCTGGTTGGCCCTAGCCCCGCCTTCGAGATGCAGCTCCTCCCCGCCTCAGAGTTGCCCTCCTCTGTGCCTTGGCACTCGGCTCCTTCAGACTAGCCAATTAGCAAACACCTAGTGTGACTGTGAATCTGCTGAGCTCATTATCATTCCTTCTAAGAACGGTTATAAATGAGAAGCAGTGTTGTGATGGCATGCTTGAAGGCGGCGTGTTGGAAAGAGTAGGAGCTTCTTAAAGAGACAGAAGCCCAAATTCAAGGTCTTAAATGACAAAGTCAATTTTATTTTAAGTCATATCTGAAGGTATCATAGTTACTTGATTATGCTATAAAATGGAACTATGTGCCTGGAAAAATACATACAACTGTCCTTTTATATCCTTTATTTTTGCATCAACTGAACAGCTAAACTATCTCAGTCTTATTCCTAACATTAATTTAAATAATCTACGTGCATATCAAGACCAGCAACAACTCCAGCTAGAGAAGCAACTTCCAGAGCAGAGGGAGCATCACCA